TTAACTTTGTGGGATAGAAAACAGGCTATAGAATGAAACTATTGATCTAACATTTATCCACAAAGCTTTTTATTATCGTCGTTGGAGAGCTCATTTATCATATCGCGAAGAACTTCTCTACATTTCACCGACGATAAACACAACAGTTCATTGTAACTCAGAAACACAACAGGATAACATGGAATTCACGTGAAGGCCGTCGTTAGTTCGGCTTCAGAGATGAATTGCTTCCAGGGTTTTTGTTTGGGGAGTTGTCATAGTGATTCTTCACACCAATAGAAAAATTGATGTGGTTTCTTTTTTCTGTAAAGTCGAACAACTTCCTGAATTCTTCGCTTTACATATAAGCTTTTCTTTGACACTTCCAAACATGCCCCATCATCAAATCCACTAAACGAATCCCAAAAATTCTTGCATTAGATTCGCATCCTCGTATTCATCCTCTGTTAGGACGCTTGCACATTTCACATGTTGTCACGGTTTCTGTTGAGGGTTTCGTTTTCTTTGTGAATACGGATGAATGCTGGTCGAGTCAAAACTCTCTGACATTCTTAGATATTATCAAGCGTTCTCACGTGCATTAGAGGAGATGAGTTTAACCCCAAGTAAATCAATACGGCCCCATCTTTTGATCCCGGAAGAATAAGATGCTTGGTGGAATATGGGAAAGGTCGTACCACCGCGTTGTTCGTAAAGAGCGGTATCACACTTCGTGCGTTGATGACTCAGACGGGCTCATTAGAAAAAATAGCAAAATGCTTGGTTGAATAACAAATCCTTTCATCCACTCATATAACAGGTGTTTACATTTATTAAGCAAAGCTTTGCTCATTAACTTTTAGCAGAGTACAGAAATCAGTTTTTCAACATCGAATGAGCGAACATAAGTAGAGATAAACCAACTGTCATAAAGCAAAAAAAAACCCCGAACGTCGCTGGATTTCGAAAAAGAAATGAGTTCTATCTTAGCAAGTGTTATTCTAAGAGTTCAGCAGTTCCTGGAAATTGAAAGAATTCCGGTAACAATGTAGAAGTGAAAGAAATTTTTTGAAGAGCACAAAGCTCAAAGCTCATCGAATGGAGTTGGAGCTTTGTTGAATAAATGCTCTTCTTTCATGACTAAGCTTGACATTGGTGTAGCTTTTAATTAGACGAAGGGATATTCGTGCTCAGAAGCCAAAGAACCATATTTGGCGCATAATTGGGGTTGTATAGCCTATTTCATCTAACTCGTGTTTGAACAAAAAACTAGGGGGTGATAATAGAATGTAAAGGAGATCCTAACTACCTAATAAAATGATGGGTCACTTTTTTCTCTTTTGGTAGTAGCAGGCATATGGCCACAAGTTCGATTGTGCTCAAGCCAGTCAAGCTTCTCCTCCGAGGCACGGAAGATGGGTATTCGATTTGTGTGCAAAAAGGCCCACAATATTTCACGTGTCTACCTTTGGTAGCCATGGAAAGCGTAGGTATGAAAAATTCAAGGAGAAATCGAGTGTCAACTTGTCATAAGCAATCGTTAAGAAGACGGACTTTCTAGTTAACAGACAATCCACGCGCAAAATGCAAAAATCCTCGTGGATGATGGATGGAAGAACAAAAGGAATGAGTGAAGTGCTGAAATCCATGAGAACGAGGTTGAATACATAAATAAACGTAAAGTGCAAATTTTTTGAATTTTACTGTTATCAATGGTAAGTTTAGGGAGCATATTTATCCCTAAAGAACATGGATAAGCATAAACATGTGGTAATATTTCTAAAAAACGAAATCCTCCGGAAATATCTGGGTATAAATGTCCAAACCATTCTTAATCTCATCCTGTAAGCTTCTGTAGTCTATCAATTATGAAGAGGTACGGGTGGCAATGATGGCCTTAGAGTACGAGATTCTCATACGAGAATACGAGAATACGAGTGACTACATATTTCTGATAAATGCCAACTTTCCAGAGTACAGAGCTCTTGGTATCAGGAAGTGTAATAATTGTGCGCTGTCGTGGTGACTGACATTGACAGCGTTAAGCCGGCGGCTTCAATCTGCTGTTGGAAGCTGTGTTTATAACTGCTTAAGAGATGAGAAAAATCATGAAAAGCGAAGCTTATTTCCAAACTTGTGAAAGAAGTGCGATGATCGATTTTGGTGGATCATGCTCTGCAAAGAGATACTATGGTAGTGCTTGAGATATAACGGCCCTCCTTCAGGGATTTTTCTGCTTTGAAGGACAAAAAAAATTCTGTAATACTATTGATCTCGAAACTAATATCCTTTTATCCTATGTTGCAGTCAATAAGTCCTTGACCATTCATGTCAATTCTTTGAGTAATTTCAGGATAAAAAGACAGGTGCCCTTTTTCTCACATATGGATGATGAAGCCCGAAAGTGTAATTTTGCTTATTCGCTTTTTATTAGAATCGTTACCATCACCTCTCACCTCACTTAGCTGAGAAATTTCTTGGAAAATAGAAAAATCCTGAAGGTAGTAGAGGTTATTCTGCATTTTTATAAGAGATAATTCCCAGCGTAAGTTTCTCGTAAAAGCTTACTTTACTATCACACTTAGCAATCAATGCATTAATTGAGAATTTGTCACAAACATGTCTGCAACTTTTGGCTTACTTCGTCTCATCTTTCACAATCTGATTATGTTTCCCATTCGTTCGTCTGCTAATTATAGCAGCAATAATAACAGTGATGGCTTACACTGGCTACCCTGCAAATTTTTTTTGCTACCCGCCTTCTTTATTGTCATTTCCGCTTTATGAATAGGTTTTCTCCACATCTTGAGGAAATTTATTCGCCTTTTTCAATGGTCACACTCTCTTCAGCTTCAGTGCTCTCTCGCTGCAAAATGAGAAATTAAGTTTAAAATTACCAATGAGATATGCTCCCCATAGACGAGGCCCGCTGCAGTATGTGTATTGTAGAGATACCGATTAATTATGAGAAGTCCAGAAAAAATTTCTGCGTGGTAAGTTGACCAACTGCGATGAAAAAGGAATCTATATATTTTAAGTCGTCGCAAGAGTGTTAATTTTCAATTGTAACACTAGCAACTATAATAGTGCAGTAATGATTATCCAAAAAACTGATTATCATTTCAGATTAGTAATTGTAAGAAGTAGTCATATAGTTCTAAAAATAATTATTTCAATATTATTGACAATATGATGAGTAGAGTGGACGTGGCCGAGCTTCATGCTGTTGCCACCTCGCCCGCCAATTTCATGGACATGACAACTTGCGTCGTCGTTCAGTAAAATCAGCGTTTTTCGGATAAACCAGCTAGCGACGTCAGGTTTTGCAGTTTTCAGCAAATCCTGTTGATCTACCAATAATTCTTCCATACTGTAAAGAATTCATCTGAGTTCAGTAAATTCTAGTAGCTACAAGAATCTTTAGACTTCAAACAGGTTCTCATGGCACCTCTTAGAGGTAAATCAAGCAAGTGTCGCAGTTTCTTTAGACTACGCGGTAGAGAACGACGCCGGTAAACGTCGTTATGGTAAGGAACCAAATTTTTACTTTCGCATCATGAAGCGCTAAAGAAAACACGATAAAAATGCTGTTGATGTGCAAAGATTGTAAAAAGCTGACAATCATCTCCCTGATTCCAATTCAATTCATGCGGTCGAACGTAGAAAATTGTTGCCATCAGAATCCTATGTTCAGATACACAACACAAAATGATAACATTATTTTTGCTGTTGGAGAAAAAGCCTTCTTAACGACCTTTTGACCATTCAAGAAATGATTGGTAACAGTTCTTTCTTGCCAAGACATTTCGAAATACAAATTTTACACCGGATTCTCCTAAGGGTCTTTTTCCTAAATTCAAACTCATATAAAAAACTCTCCTAATCGATTTTTTTTACTTGATAAACTACCTAAGACATAAATAAATGTGGAAACATAATTAGGAAAGAGCACATTACTGTAGAGAAAAGTCATTGGTTATGAGATATTGGCAAATTTATTTACAACGAAAATTACACCGGTGATTAAAACGTTTGATACTTTGAAGTCTGAAATGAGGCTGGAAGAACCTTTCAACTTCAAGTAAATAGGAGGAAAATCTAGGTGCTGTTTTAATCGACACCCATTCAATCTGAATAGGAATGCACTCAACAAAACGGCACATGTTTTGGTATTGATGGAGTCAGCGCAAATGCAATTGAAAACTAGGTCTGGAATGTGAAAAACTACTTCGCAGAAAGCTCCGTTTCCTAAAATCGTTTTCGAAAACAGGAAGAAAAACGATATTTAGTTGTCTTAGCAGCTGACGACTGGTTTTCTGCGGAAACTGAATTTTCAAGTGCTCATCTTTGAACATGGAAGAATTTCCTTCTGTTTACGAGGCTTTTTAAGCTATCACAAGCAGAAAAGAGTTGATTTTTTATGCATTTTAGCTTATTCGGAGACGATTGACAAAATTTCATTCCATCTCACCCACTGCCTGAGGGCAACAACTTTCCTCAGTCTTGAGTTTCGCTTGTATCTATCACCTTCTTGTGGAAATCAATGGCGTCATAATGGCCTATTCGACCAATATCTGCATTATAATCTCATATTTTCAAGTTTAGCATTAATATTTCACCCATTCGTCGTGTCAAATCTCCTCGAACACATAATGTTATGGCTGCTGCTTGAGGAGTTCATCTTCGTTATCATTGCCATAGAATGCTGATCGAGACCAATCGCCGCGCAATCTTCTAGCTAAGGAGTTCCCACGTCAAGGCAGTAGAGTAATGGGAGAGGATGTCGAAGAATAGTGTGACGTCTTTGACCACTTGGTCGACGCACTCCAATAATATATGATGTATATTATATATATATATAAATATATAATATATACATATATATATATATATATATATATACGCCATATGATATGACTCAATACCTGTATTTTCTGAGCATCTATTGCTATATGTTTAGTGAACCTATCATGGTTGACAACTACATAGAGATATTGAAGAATAAGTGGTAGTGCGAATATACCTCGGCAGTGTAGTGGTAGTAGCACGAGTCTCCGGTATGGATGAAACGTGGGTTCGACTCCCGCCTGAGGTCGTATTTTTGCTCACCACTCAATTCTCTTAGGAACATGAAACCTATCCTGTACAGAAAGCTCATGTTTTGTACGAAAAAAAAGAAAGAATGAATGTGAGTTTACGAAAATGCTGCACACTGGCACGGAAACATAGTTATATTATTGTAGAATGTAATCGTTTTTTTTTTAAATCAGAAATGATTTCGAAATTACGAGATGCTGACGGAAAAAGTCTTTGAATACGAACAACTTATATAACTTCTCTCATAAGAACGTTAGGGGCAAATCAAAGTTGAATTTACGATTCTCCTTATCTGCTGTTACTAGGGGCAGCAGAAGCAATTTACGAATGTTGCATTAATCTGCTTAAAGATTTTTCGATAGCTGAGCATGAAGCCAACCGACTAGACTTGGCTGGACGAGTTTCCACGAGAATACCAGTGAATGGATCACGGTAGTGTTAAAGTAATTAAAGGGCGGCGGAAGTGTTGCAATGCTTTAGTGAGAGGCTTACCACCACTCGAGACAATCTTGATGATTTGTGGATTAATGGGATGCTCTCAAGAATAGACATGTTAGTTTCAATTGAAGAAAAGCCTGAGATTGGAAGAAGACGTAGATAATTGTTCACGAATGAAGCTTAGTGAAACGAATCTGGAATGTACCGAAAAAAATCGGACAACGTAGCCAAATGTAACTAGTGTCTATCAATGAAATCGATTTAGAACCTCTGTTGCATAAAAACATCTATACTGATTAGACTATAACCACATAGGAACAGAAATAGAGACTACATTGGCTTCAAACTCACGATTACTTTTTCTGGGGTAACATGTTTTATACTGGTTGAATTTCAAAGCAATTGACGTGCAGTTCGGTCGCATCATTGACATATCTGCGTAATGAGGAGTCTAACAAGGCGTAAAAGCAACTTCATCTGTCGCTAAAAAGTCGTCGAACATCGTGTGAACTAATTGGCGCACTCAGCATTATTAAGTTAGTTTCTAGTTATAATAGCACCCGATGAGCCATGGGAAAGTCGTTATAATTTGCATAACTGGTGACGTAATGAGTATTCAAGTAGGATGGTGATGATTCAGCCGACGGCTCCACTTTGAAGTAAGCTTCGAAAAAGCGAAGAGTTGTCGACCGAATGAAAAGCGATAGTATTTGTTGTTTAGACTCTTCGATGGTCAATATTGAAAGGATTTGACAGCAGTGAAAGTAAACGGTTGACATGTCATGGCATCAAGACTGGCAGTTCTAGTGCCCGTCGATAGATTTCTCGCTCTTCTCTACAACGCCATTGATTACTCTACATTCGATAGTTTTACAAATAGTATAACTTCACCTATTGGGGAACTCACTTAAGTTAGAGGCGGATCCGTCATTTCAGTTAACAGGGCCAATTTTGTAAAAGGCATAGAAGAGCTCAATTACCTCTTTAGTCTAAAGGTTGTCCACAGAAACCCTGACGCTTTCTTCTTAGTATAAACCATTACATCTCTCACGACAGAAAATAATGAGTGAGAAAGTTTTATTGGAGAGTGTTTGAATCATTCGGTGATTGATGTACTAAGAATACAGATAACATGATCTAATAACATGTATGTAACAACATGTATGTAATGGAGATTTCACTGAAGTATTTACCAACCTCTAACGTTACTGAAATTTTAAGGGCTGCAGTGGTCAGCGATGAGCCTTGCAGTACGCGAAATATATTTAGTTTCGTCATGTGTCCTAAATAAAGCTCTCCGTTCATCCTCTCAGGCCAACAAATTGGGATTCGTTTTCCGCGAAGAGTTCCGTTTGACGTCAGCGAATGCATATGGTGAAGACTTCAAAAATTGTAGTGAAGCCAGCAGTTGACTCACATTCATTGCTATCCCCTTCGTGCATTTCGGGTGCAAACTACAAACTCAATAAATCAATACGTTATCAAAGTAAATTCTTATTATCTAATCACTTTAGCGGAGGTTTGGTGTTATAATATATCTAGTGATGTAGAGTGAAGTACATAATTTTTTACGTCAGGTGGGACTCAAACCCACATTTTAGCTTATCCGGGGCGACCCAACCACGGTGCTACTGACGCCTGTTTTGACACCACTCTTTCTACGCTACATCGCATCTATCCGTCAGCAACCAACCGTCAACGGTCTGTCTTGGGTAGCAGATATCAACATTGAACTGACAGATACTGGGTAAGAGATGATCAAACAGATTAGCACCAACCAGCGCTAAAAGCGGTTTAATAAAACAGAATTCTGTTTGATCATCTAATCCTCAATATGTCAGTGTGACTAGGTTCAATACCGATCCCATGCCACTCTGTTTACAGTTGGTTGCTGATAGATCGATGCATTACAGCGTAGAAAGAGTGGTGTCAAAACTGGCCGCGGTAGTGCAACGGCTCCAGTGTGCGCTAGAGCGAAATGTGAGTTCAAGTCTCGAAAGACGCAAAAGGTTGTGCAGATCACTCTACATCACTATAAATAAATATAGTTCGTGAGGATGTTCAGAACCTTATTGAGGTTAGCACGTCAGTGCTTACGTACATTTCGGGCGATATCGCGCGCTTCATCAGAGCCACGTACTCCACACTAAACCTTGTCTTATAGCAAGAATGGTGAAACATTTTACTGATAGCGCGTGATATTGTGTCATCACTACTATTTAAAAATCACCAATGAGAGAAATGTTGCAAACTGCAAAAGAAGTCAAAGAAAAATATTGCTATGAGAACAAATATAGAGTCCGTCACCTGTCGACCCGTTGATCGCCGAGTGAGTGAGGCAAACGACACTAAGCCATTCATTTTCCTGCCATGTGCGAAGAATTAGACTCTCCTTGCTTTAGGGATTGGTTTAACATCATATCTTTCTTCAAGGCCTTTCGTGAAAAAACTGGACCATCGGATCGGTGATGTTCTTGTGAAGCGCTTGACATTTCCACAAACTCAGTTCATAACGGCTCTATTCCATCGGTCGCCGTCAGAACAGATTACGTGTTTGGTCCGCCTGGATTCTGACGTTTTCACGAGTGCAGCAGTATTTTTGATCCTAGGTCGTTGTTCATTCCTAGGTCATTTGATCCTCTCCCTCAATATCTTGCATAGGACATTCAACTTATGTTCGAGAAAGTCAAATGTTCTTTGAACCTGCTTATGTGGCGGGTGGTTTCTGATGCATAAATTGAAGAAAGAGCGACCCTTGATGCGGAAAAGTAGTCACAAAGTCAGGTGTTCGTTCTTCTTCTTACTACATCCTCTATGCTCCTTCGCTCTCCAAACTGCTCGCTTTCTCGTGCTCGTCTCTGCAGTTAAATAGTTCATTAAAATGTTACTTAAATAAAAGTGATTGCTTCACTCAATGTAATCCGTTCCTTATGAACATCACTTCTATGAGATTAAGTCAACGACCTATCATTTCACAAGCGTTGTCAAAGTTATTCAACACTATGATAGTTTTACTTGGCTGATGTTTGGTGCTATAAGAATGTTGCCATCAACATGGCAATGATAGTAAAATTCCGGCCATCAATTTTTATTCCTGTTTTAAGCCACTCTAGTGTTCGCATAGCATTTTGGAGGGTCTCAGTAAATATTTTGAAGAAATAAAATCGCCCTGCTTTTCATGTCTATGGAAAATCTAAGTAAAAATACAATTATGAGTGGAAAGAAGATTCTGGAACTGTTTCCTAAAAAAGGTGGCAAGATTAGTCTTTGGCATATAATATATTCATTACAAATCAGCATTAGCTGGATGTATATTGCTGGATACAAACTTGGTGACAGTCTTTGTCGGGAAACAAGGAATATCATGCTAAGCTACGTCGGAAATTAAAAGATGGTGAACAACTGCTCAAACCTCTGTGACTGCTGAAGTAGAACATTCTATGTTAAGGAACAGAGAACTTTTTTTGGAAGATCATTCAAGTGAACAACAGGGCCAATGTAATTGCGTATATTTGCATAGGTAGTTTAAGAATTAATAATTATAGAAAAACATGCGACGTTTATCAGAGAGATTATCAGTCTTTAGAAAATAGGCATGTGACTTCTAATAGAGGTGATCGAATGTACATATAGCCTTTGATATGCGATGTTTTTAACCCTGTATAGGAAGCTTTTCCAACCCTAAAATTTGTCAGACTGTTTATCTCAAGATCAATCGAACCATTGACTATTTTTCTACTACAGAGGGCTTTTCATCATTGCGTTTCACGGTCTGAGTTACCGTGTTCATGATATGAATGATTTTTAGAGATTCTCTTCCGTCTTATAATTACTAAATCTTATCAGATAGAGAAGATCTTTTGAGAGGCCGCAGCTTTAATGGACTGTTGGCTGTACTTGTCTCGAAAATAGTACACGTCATTGTCAAGTTTCAAATTAGCTTTTGCTCCCCTTTAGAAATCTGACTTTGTCCAGCTTCTACCAGTGTACTTTATATTTACTTCAAACGACAATGAGATCCTTTATTGGTACCTATCAAAGTGAAAGACGTTGTAACGCCTGCTCATTGGGTGAATTTAGTTTGTGTTCGTGGTATGCAAGCTAGGGCAGATTTATCTAACGTGAAACACATGAAAATTCTATGATTGACGCTGATTGTGAAACTCGATTAGATGACCGCAAGCATTTTACAAATTTTTAAGAGTTTCAATTCCGTATTCCATCTAGTCAATTATCTTGACAGTCGTGGTTCTATTAGATAATCACAAACATCGGAAATTTCAAAAATTGAATTTGGTGTGCACTCAGTAGTCTTTGTCAAGAAAATATGAGGTTGGAAAGAAAATTTTTATAGATTGAATGGGAATGTCGTTTTTTCGCATGAATCGTGTGTGATTTTCATATCATTTGAAAGGACTACTTCTTGCGCATCAATTGATATACTTTTAGTCCATGTTTGAACCTAGTTCACAACAAGTTGGCCAAGAAATACTCAGAACTTGTTCGTCAAAAGCGCGCTTTGCTTCAGTAAGAGACCGCAAAACCACGTATAGCCAAAAA